AAAAAAAAAAAAAAAAAAAAAAGACAAGACAAGAGCTGGTTCTGGGTAGTCTGTTTGCCTGATTGACAAAGGACCTGAACAACAACAGTAGGGCTGCTTATTTATGCCTTTGCCAAGTTGGTATCAGGAGAAACAAGGTTGCCTAGCAACTAATGGCTGAAATTGTCCAGACAGGATGTTTTTCCCAAGACTGAGCGAGCTTGCCTGCTTGAGGCGTTGAGGCCTTATTCTGCCTTCCCACATATGATCAATTTCCCATTTCAGCAGCTCCCAACAGTTCCCGTATATGCAAAAGTTGCAGAACCACAGATCTAGCTGGTCAGCACAGCTTAACAGTAGAGCTTAGTTGTGAAGAATTATAGATGTGATTCAGAAGGGGGGTAACCACCAGGGGAGGAACAGAGAATGCTAAAGATGTTGGATCGCTGCACACAAATAAAGGAGCTGTGGCCCTGAGAGCAGGAGCCACAGACAAGCTCTTCTCATACTAGTATGCAGCCCCACTGTGCACAGAGTCCTGTATTCCTCAGCTCAGTAGCCTTATGTCTTCTTGGTTAGCGCCCTTGACATTAGAAGGCGACAGCAGGGACCTATGCAATGGTCTGTGAGGGGCACTGGTCCAGCTCAAGTCTGTCTGCCAGGGAAGCTGAGCTTAGTAAGTTCCTCATGTTCGATGTGTGTCTTCCTCATGTTTCTGCCCAGGAAACAGCAGTTAACTGTTTGTGCATTACTTTTCTTGTCACTGGGACAAAACACCAGATACAACTTAGAGGAGGAGAGGTTTATTTTAGGTCATGGTTGTTTGAGAATTCAGTCCATGCCTGGCTGACTCCCAGGCGGGAAGGTGTGGTAGAAGAAAGCCAGTCATGTTACAGTGGCCAAGAAGCAGAGGGTGAGCGGACGATCTGGAGAGGCTGATGTGCCCTCCAGGTCCTGCCTGCAGTGGACCACCTCTCCCATCCGGGCCCTGCCTCCTACAGTACGTCCAGCTATGGATTCATGCACTGGTGAGCATACAGCCCTCACGATCAAAAAGCCCTCCAAAAGCCCAGCTCTGAACACGTGAGCGTTTGTGGTGACACTGAGATCCAAAATTAACACCTTAGGCACAGACGGGGCATAAACACACAAGCATGGGCTCCGCTGCTCAGAGAGCTGCTTTCAAATCCTGTCCCCTTCACTGTGTAGCCCCAAGCACTGGAGATGACATTTTTGAGCCTGGTTCTTCAACTAGAAAAATAGACCAGACCCTAATTCTGGTGGTATAAGCTTTCTGGGAGAACTGAATGAAATGATGAACATACAGGACTTGGGGGCCTAGAAAATGGGGTGGGGGGGTCAATAACGTGACTACACACTCTAGGCATTGTGTCTCAGAGTTAGCCCCATAACTCAGCATTTTGACATCTTCAGTGACACCAGAGGACCACAGATGGCTTGGCAACTTGAAAATGCACCTAAGATTTTAAGTTTTAATGCAATTCAGAAGGTCTAACCTCCTAAAAATCAACCCCAAGTATCACAAAAGATGAAAAATTTGAGTGTAAGAAAGAACATCTTCTGCAAGTAATGCAAACGGGCCAAAGGTCTGCCTTTGATTTAGACACCAGAATGAGAATCTGATACACTTTAAAAGGCAGAATGTACCCTGGGGTGTCTGAGAGTGGAGGCTGCAGAAGGCCACATTCCAGATAAGCTAATAATGAACCTTATCAAGGCCACCAAGAGTTTCAGGGATGCCCCCTGCCATTTGCAGAATTATTTCGAGTCCTGGCTTTTATATCTCTGGTTTATAGTTTTGACAGCTGGCACACATGAAATCATTTAAGGCTGATCTCTTCCAAATGGTGATAAGCTAAAATCTTGATGGGATTTAAAGCTGTGGGCTTCCCATGGAGATGCTATCATTTAAGTTGAAAATAAAAAGTTATCAATTCCAAATGACACTGAAGCAAACAGTGGATCCAAATTTCAATCTCTCAGTGCAGCAGAGAACAGTCTTCTGATGTGTGACTCATCGCAGGCCAGGACACTTGAATCAGGCCAGGACACCTGAAACAACCAGCTCGGGGTCCCATCTCCTGAGAATGTGGCCTTCGGTGCAGGGCCGCCCGAATGTGCATTCTGGCCCTGCTACTTCGCAGCTGTAGACAAGACATTCAGTCTCCTCTGGGCCTCAGTTTCTTCATCTGAACTGGGCATCCTGATATATCAGGATGATACAGCAGCCTGATCAATGATGGAGCAACAGGATGACTGACGTGCCAGGACGACAAAGTTCACACATGTAAAGGGCTGACAGAGCAATGGGCCAAGAGCCCAGAACAATTCCTGTCAAAGCAAGTTACTGGCAGAAAACAAAATCCAAAAAGCTCAGATGTTCAGAAACTAGACTGCTGGCTAATGACCTGGTGAACAAATGATACTGACATGGCTGGGGCCGGGGAGATGGCTCAGTAGGATAAACGCTTGCCTGGCAAGCTCAAGGGCTTGAGTTCAATCCTCTATTCCACAAAGAAGAAAGAAAAGAAAGAAAGAAAACAAAAATGGTGCGATGTGGAAATTATCCCACATAGTTGCAAGTGAGAGAGTCATTTCAAGAGTTGTCTTAAAAGAAGAGCACTGACGGAGGGCACCGCTGCGGAGAACGTTCTCCTCCCACCCGTAAGACAAGCAAGAAGCGAACGGAAGAGCAAAATGAAAGTGAGAGGACTGGACGAGAAGGTCTAGAAGAAGAGGGAAAGGAAAGAGAAGATACAATCAGGATGTGGGGTCAGAGGGAGAAAAAGGCTGCCCCGAGCAAGCAGGAAGTCCATCTTAACCTCAGCTACAAATGGAAACACTGGGAATGCTCAAGTCCAATCCTGACGCCTGACTGCACCCTGGGACGGCAGAGTCCCTTGGTGTGGACTGAGGTCAGGCTCTAGGACCTTTCCAGTTCCTTGGAAGCACCTGGTGTGGGCCAGGCACCACTCACTGATCCGGCAGCAGCCTTCCTAGAATCACTCACAGACTTGGATTAGTATTCCCATTTTCCTTTAAAAGAAAATTCTCTCACTTTTTAACATCAAAAATAAAAAAGTACAGGTATCTCCGCAATAAGAGAAAAGCCAAGGTTATTTGACATAAAAAGGAAGTACTCATAAAAGTAAATACAGTGAAAAATCGGCGTTAGGCCTTTCTAGCTGGCTACAGAGAAGTCCGACCTCTGTTCTCTGCAAGAGGGAAATCAGCAAGGGTTCCAGTACTCACGATATTTTAGCCCCAGAGAGTTTTCCTTTGCAATACAACCAAGACTGTGAGGAAAACTAAAGAATGACTCACACGCAATGCAATGCTTTTACGTGTCAGTGTCTTCAGAAGCCATCTCAGCGCTACCCCAGGTCATGGCCCTTGGCGCTGCCATCCCACGTGGAAGCAGCACAGGTGCAGGAACGCCGGTCCTGAGGCCATGAAGGATGGGGCCGCTCCACAGCCCAGGAGCAGCAGAGGCGCAGGACGACCAGCCCAGCAGATGCCCCACCGCGCATTGCTCGTCGCTGACCTTCTGTGAGAGCATGCTGTTTTGATCCACAGAACTGAGATAGGAATAAAATCACGCTGCTTTGATAAATGATTGAGAAGATTTCTTTTTTAAAAGCTCTATCATGCCAACTCAAGTTCTCAAAGGTGGAAGGCTCTGGGTGGAGCAGTA